CTCTCTCTCTCTCTCTCTCTCTCTCTCTCTCTCTCTCTCTCTCTCTCTCTCTCTCTCTCTCTCTCTCACACACACACACACACACACACACAGATCCCGACTTCCACACAAACGATCTGCAGTTGTCCCGACTTCTATCTCCCGGCCCGATCTCTTCCTCCTCCCCCGATCTCTACCTCCCATCCCGACTTCTCTCCATCACCGCTCTGTAAGACGGAGTTCGGTCTCCCATCGTGACTTCTCTCTCATCAGGTGCCCTAAGTCCGTACAATGGTAAAAGCTCGACCCTTAGTTTCCTATGATGATGATGAGATCCAGGCATTAGAAAAAAACAAAAGCGAGATGATGATGATGATGATGATGGAAATCTAAAGATGATGAGATACGAGGAAGCCCGAGCCTTAATTTTCTATCTAATATTTATAAAAAAAAAAGATACTACGAGGCTGGTGAGCAGGTGAAGGAGGAGGAGGAGGAGGATATCGAGAGGGTAGGAGGAGGAGGAGGAGGAGATCGTGGAGGAGGAAGTCGGAGAGCTGCATCAGCAGTACCGTCTTCCTCCAAACGCAACCCGCCGTCATCATGAATGTACCGGACCGGAAGGATGGCTTGTATACGTTCGTGGTCAGGGTGCGTTGTGTTTGGGGGAAGACTGCAGTAAGCCAGGGAGGAACAGTACCGTCCTATGAGTGTATACAAGCCAGCTTTCCGGCTGGATGCAGTCATAATGAGGGTGCGTTGTGTTCGGGGGAAGAGGGTAGGGCATAAACCCCAAGCGGAGAAGCAGAAAACAGACGATTGCAAGGATAAGGAAGAACAAGGCGAAATTAATGGACAAAGAGAAACAAGTATGAAGACGACACGGATGCAATATCAAGGAGAGAAAGAGGCAGCGAACGAGGCGGCGGAGAAAAGGAGAGGGAGAGCAAGGGCGGGAAGATGAGGAGGGAGAGGAGGAAGAGGAGGAGGGAAAGAGAGCGGGAAGACGAGGGAGGAATAAGAGGAGGAAAAGGAGGAAGAGGAGGAGGAGTAGGAGGAGAAGGAGAAGGAGGAAGAGGAGAAGGAGAAAAAAAGAGCGGGAAGACAGCGGAGGAAGAGAAGGAGACGAAGAAGAAGGAAGACGAGCGGTGGAAACGACAAGGGAGGAGGTTGGGTGAAGGAGAAAGGAGTTGAGCAAGGAGGAAGGAAGAGGAAGAGGAAACGGAGGTGAAGAAGATCAGCAGAAGAGGCAGGAGGAGAAGCAGAGGAAGGGGGCAGGAAGACCAAGGAGGACTGGGAGGTGGAGAGAGAGATGAACCGAACCGAAAACAGAGGTAAGGGGGGCGATAAGCACTCGGCTATGGCGGATCATCACGATGATAGGGAGGAAGAGAAGACATGAAGCAAAAGAGAGAAAAAAGGGGCGTGAAGGAAACCCTTGTGGGAAGAGCAAGTGGAGTGGTGAGTGGGCGGGAGAAATTAATCACAGGCACAGGAGGAAGAAAGCCGCCATAGCCGCTCGCTTTCCAGTCCGCATCAGATATAGTCGGCGATTTTTCTTTGGGGGGGGGGKGGGGGGGGAGGGGGGAGGGAAGGGGTAGGTGAGGACATGACCGAGTGAGAAAGTAGGTACCTCCCATCCTCTTCTCCTTCCTCTTCTTCGTCGCCTGCTTTTCGGAATCGGCATCCCGATGGGCGACCTCCATAGCCGAGAGATCGGGATCGGGGCCCGTCATCTGCTGCTTCTTCTTCTTCCTCCTCCTCTTCTTCTTCTCGTCTTTCACAGTGACGTCAACAGCAGAGGCTCCTGCAGGCTCCGACGGGGAGGAGGCAATCGCCTCCGCATCATGCTGGCATCTCTTCGGGTCAGCTTCCGCGAGGGTCACGTCATCATCATCGGCCCGTGCCGCCATCGAACCCCCGCCGCCCTTCTTCTTCTTGCCAACCATGGCTTCCCTCCCTTCCTTCGGCCGATCAGTGAGAGAAAGCAAGCGGGAAACCAGAGAGACCAGACAGACACGTGCGACCGCCGGCTTCAGCGCCTGGAACGACCGGTCGCCCGACAGGCCTCCACCCCCTAACTGCTACCGGTCGATCACTCAGCCGCGCTACTACCACTTTCTTCTTCCGCTGCTCAGAGATGAAAGGCGCCGTCTGTCCTCCTCTTCGTCCTTTGCCCCTCCACAGCGGCCGCCCCTCCTCCGTCCCTCCCACCTCAACGGCCAAGCGGCAAGTGAAGACTGTGGCGGGGGCAATTTTTCTCGAATTTTTTGGGGGAAAAGGAACTCTCGGTCTTGGATTGGGTGGGGTGAAGACGGGGGAGCAACTTTTTTTTCTCGATTTTTTGGGGAAAAAGGAACTCTCGGCCTTGAATTGGGCCGGGTACCCAACGGGGGGTGAGTCCCATTTACTCAGATCCTCTGTTTCCGGCCGTCGATCTTTATCATCTATCGTCGGAAGCAGAGAGTTAAGCGAGGAGGAGCTCAGCACCCCCCTACCACCGTAGCGAACGGAGAGTAGGTGGAAAAAAAAAGGAAGGGGGGGGGGGGGGGGGGGGGGGGGGGGGGAGAAGCATGTAGATGTAACCTCACCCCTTCTGCCCTAGAAAATCGGCTCAAGGGTCAAATATGCCCCATATGACTTACTAAACCCCTAAATCCCGAGAGGAGAGTGAGTTGAATCAGAATGGAAGGTTTGGTCGTGACATACGTCGTTCCTATCCACCCGCCACCCAGCTATATTGTTCCAATGCGAACGCCGCCCAGCTATGTTGTTCCTATACGCCCGCCAGTACTTCTGGAAAGTGTGCCCGTGTATGCGCGAGCATGCGCTCGGATGCCTGTTGTGCAAGGACAAATTCATTCATGACGTTGCCACACTGTAGCGATGGTGGTTGGTGCATCAAGAAGCACCAGTTTGAGCCCATGTCCCCTGGAACTTGCTATCCTGAACAAGCAGGCTGCGAGTTAGAGCAGTACCAGCCACAGGGCTCAACAACATTGATGGCAATTGAATGTCGATGGTGATGGTTGGAGTTTAGCACTGTTGTCGAAAGCCTCCACTAATGTTCATGACTTCTAAAGTCAGTCAAACAAATAGGTTGGACAAAATAGGGTTTGCTCCACTGGAAGTCCAATCCTCTAAGCAAGCAAGCAGAACTCGTCCAGCTATGTGTGAATGCGCCTCTGATGCCTTTAGAGATATGAGCATGGTCACATCAACCATGAAAGTTTTACTTAACCCCCAATCCCTCAGGCGAATGTGCAGTTTGGCTACAACGACTATGAGTACGGGAGCCCCATACATTTCACTGCACCTTTTTTTTATAATTAAACCACTAGTACCAACAAAAGTCGTAGCAGCGACAATCATGAGTGAACGGGGCACTACGAGAGCACCCAAATTCATATGACTAGAAACACTTTTACTCTATTTTTTTTCCCATGGCCAATATATGAAAAATGTACTAGTGGTTTAATTTAATATCCATTGTGAGGGGCTACGCTCTCAGAGTAGTACGAGAAAGTTGAAAGCCTTAATCCCTCTCTTCAACCCCCTTCAATTTATTGGTGATGGACTGCACCTGCTGGAAAGCGGGTCCCGTGTGCAAATCAACATTCATGTACTCTCAACTCTTAGTTGGAGAATTGATTATCAACTATTCTGACAACACAAATTTGTTGGGTGAACATAGTAACTCTTCAGTTGGAGACTAACTGTAAAATTTTGTTGTTGCCTCTTACCTACATCAATTGTTAAATCCAGTATAAAGATGAGTAGCGTGGTAGAATGTCAAAGTTACTCGTGAGAGTTGTTGTGTTCAAGTGTGATTGTGCTACTTTACGAATACGGGAAAATCGATTACATCACACTTAAGATGAGTTGCATACTTTGGGCTTTACCAACTGGAAGGGTTGGCTTGGAAGATGGTAAGTTGCCCTACTATGTTATGAGGTGGTCAAAAACTTTAATTTTGTTAGTTTACCAGGGTGGACGTCCGGGACCCCTATGGATGTCTGACTTGTCCGGTTGGACAACTGGGGAGATGTCCTTTGGAGATAGTATATCCGACCATTTAAAAAAAAAAAAAAAAGTTTTTTTTTGGCTACCAAGCGGGTTGCCCGGTTCACCCTATTTTCTTGGGCGGCCCGGTCGTGCAAGGACCAGGGTAGGTCCCAACCAAAAAAAAAAAAAAAAAAAACAAATCCAAAAAATATGAAAACAAACTATGTCATGCAGAAAAACAAATTGAACAAATTTTGCCTCAAGGTTACATCGAAATTCTTTACCGAATTTAAAATAAAATTTTAAATTAAAAATTAATATTTATTTATTTATTTTTGGTTCGGCTGGGCAAGTGGACCTGGGCAGCTCTGGTAGCCTATTTTTTTATTTTTTTATTTTTTTTGGTTCTCCCTTACATGCGATATATGTCATAAAAATTGTGGGTCATTCGAGCTCATAGGAAAAAACATAAAAATCGTCAAACATGTTTGTGTCAATTTTGTTTTTTAACAACCCGAGAGAATGTCAGGGGTGTTGGTAAGAGCAAACACCATTAGCATTTCCCAGAGGGCTCAGGTTTATCTTATTGAAGTTAATTTTAATCACACACCCCAACCCATCCCCCCAAAATCCACTTTTTCCACGTTTTGTATTTCTTTTTTTTGTTTTTGCTCCAAATGAGCTGGATTTTTTTTTATAGGGTCATCTCATGTAGCGCAACCTCTCCCAATTTTTTTAGTTTTTTTTTCGTTTTTCCTTTTGGAGAAAACGATTTGTTTGGGATTACGAACAACTCCCTCAACCGATGTCCGACGGAAACGTCTTTGGGAAACGTCTCCGATCGGACATCCAGTAACCTAAAATTTTTGTAGTATGTTGATGGATACCTATAGTTTATGCTCGCTGAGGACTCTGTTTAAAACTTGCGAGCTCAACTAGTTGAATTTACATACTTGTTAATTATCTTGCGTATGAGTTTTCACCTACCACGGTGACTTGGGAGTCAATAATGTACCTTGGTTCAATGACATGAGATGCCTATTGTACCAATACTTCACCTAGGATAATTGTTTGTTGATATATTTCAAAAGCATCGCCATTTTTTTTAATTAATTTAATTCAAAGTCAAAGGTTTAGGTTATTACATGTCTTTATGGTCATTGATCCTTTGGATATATATGCTTAATGAAAAATTTAAGGAAGTGGGACCTTGACCTCAGTGTCATGGGAAGATAAGCGCAAAGGTAACACTCCTTTGTAAATACTACCATAAGTTCAAAACCTGAGCTGCTTTCGTGTTTCAGTAACAGAACTGAAATATTGTTTTTTTCCTACTAGGAAAAACAAAACCTAGGTTACCAGCCCGGACGTCCGGGACCCTTTTTTATTCCGGGTTGTCCAATCGGACAACTCCCCCGGTTGTCCGAGCGGGGCCAAGTGTCCGGTGTGGTGAAAAAATCGCACGTGGGTCCGACGGGGTTTTCGGCCCTGGGGTGACGTTTTTTGGGCTTTGTACTACCCCCCTTCCGTCTGCCCAATTTTAGTGATGCCGGCAGGACCTCCGAAAACAAGACCCAAAAAGGCCTGGTCTGGGCCGTCAAATCTAAGAGATCTACGGCCTAAATCAGGCCAAATTCAAATTTGAAATCATCCCTCCTCCTCCTCTTCCTCCCAGTATCCTTCTTCTTCTTCTTTCTCCTCCTCGTCCAAAAGGTCCCCTGCAAATATTTAGCAGGGTTTCCATGCTTTGGGAAGGATGTCCATTGGACTGCTGCAAGATGCTCAGCAGGGCAGTAATATATCCTGGATTTTGATTCAGGTCTGTGTTCCAAGAGTTATGGGTTATGAGATTACTGCAAACACTACAGTAGCTGTCTCGTTTTTTTTTTCCCCTTTTCTTACGTGCAGTGGCCCTAAGGGTCTGGCTCCACTCATCAGCACTTGCAGAAAAAAAAACGGATGGCTTGTATGATTCAAGTTTCTAGAAAAAGATTCATTCTAGTTTTGAACCATTTCTCGATTTATGCATGTTTTGCATGTACAGTAGTTGTCTCGTTTTTTTTTTTCCTCTTCTTACGTGCACTGGCCCTAAGGGCCTGGCTCCACTCGTCAACACTTGCAGAAAAGAAAAACGGATGGCTTGTACGGTTCCAGTTTCTAAGAGAAGATTCATTCTAGTCTTGCACATACAGTAGGTGTCTCGTTTTTTTGTTTTTCCTTTTCTTACATGTTTTTTTTTTTCCCTCTTCTTATGTGCACTAGCCCTAAGGGTCCGGCTCCACTCTTCAACACTTGCAGAAAAGAAAAAATGGATGGCTTGCATGGTTTCAGTTTTTACGAGAAGATTCATTATAGTTTTGCACATACAGTAGGTGTCTCATTTTTGTTTCTCCTTTTCTTACGTGCAGTGACCTTAAGGGCCTTGCTCCACTCATCAGCACTTGCAGAAAAGAAAAACGGATGGCTTGTATAGTTCCAGTTTCTAGGAGAAGATTCATTATAGTTTTGCACATACAGTAGCTGTCTCGTTTTTTAGTTTTTCCTTTTCTTACTTGCGTGCGGTGGCCATAAGGGCCTAGCTCCACTCATCAGCACTTGCAGAAAGAAAAACGTATGGCCTGTATGGATCCAGTTTCTATGAGAAGATTCATTTTAGTTTTGCATATTTGGTGAGTGTGGAGTGAAGCCCTTAAAATCACATGCCAAGTTAGTAAGTCAGTAACCCATAACTGCTAAATCACGGACGTGAATTTGAAGCTACACCATATATAGCTGGCCTGCCCCCTCCTTATTACAAGTCCAGTGGCGACCTGTCCAATGACCATCCATCTCCTGTCGACGGGACCCATGCCAATTTTTGGCAGGGACCTTTTGAAGCGCAGGCAGGGGTAGTCTGAATAATGTGAAAGGGCTCTGTGTTCTCTCTCTCTCTCTCACCCAACGTATAAACACACATCACAATTGCTTCTTTTTTTATTCTTTTTTTTTTTGTGCGCGCGCTCGCACATCTGGGATTAGCGAACTGTGCACCGTGCAGCATGCTGCGCATCGCACTTTACCTGGGCGCTGCAAGTATGCTTTCCACCCCCTTCCCCACCCCCGACACCATTTTTTTGTTTTTTGCTCCGAATAACCTCAGAAAGTTTTTTGGGTGTCCCTTGGTGGAGCACAGCCCCCCCTCGTTTTTTTTT